AAGGGTGCTGGGAAACAAACTCAGATCCTCTGGAACATCAGTGCATGCTCTAAACTGTTGAGACAGCTCTAGACCCCTTGAAAATTTATCCTGTTTGCTTTTCTTTTGTCATTACTCCATCAAACAGAAAAATGCAAATGTCTAATTGCCCTGTTGGTAAGGCTGAAGCATCAACTTTCAGCCATTTTATTTTGTATAATTGGACAATATACCTAGATGACACCAAAAAGGTAGCTTTGATGTAACAATTATCTTCTAAAATATGGGGATCTGAAAATTCACTGAACACTTTCCATACTTCTATTGAAAAGCTCCAACCCACAAACAAAAAGGCAATGTAGTAACTTTTGGGGAGTTTTGTGTGTTTAAGTGAGAGGATTCATTTCTGTGCCCCCTACAACTAAAGGTTTGGCAGTCTTAGGCGATGTGAAAAGATGCAGTAGTTCTTATGACAGTAATGGGAAGTGAACAACATAATGATAGTAGATATTCCACCCAGATTAAAAGGTGAGACAAGAGAAGTGGAGACTTTAAATTATCTTTTCTTTCTAAACACATTTTAGCTTGTCCAACACCTGTGTTGGGCCAAGATCACTTTTATCTTTTGATTCATATTTTTCAATAGTCTTATTTTTTTAGTTAGGCATCAATACTTAAACTAATTGATCTAAAGAAGATTTTGAATAGTTTGGTAAAGATCAAGGTATATATTTTATCTACATAAAATAGATGAAAATCACAGAGAAGTTGACCCAAACCAAGGAATCATTAATTGCATGATTTGATTTGAAGACAATGCCAGTGAGAACTTGAGCAAAGCAGGTGTACTACTGCTGGAGCCTTGAACTCACTCTTCACCCTCTCTCAGCCTCAATGTCTTCAAAGTCAGACTGTGCAAGGGACTGTAAATGTCCTTGTAAATGAGATGCATGCTTCAATAGTACCAGCAGATTCTAGACACTGCCTTTGACTCAAGCTGCTGCCTTAAAGACAGCTTTTTAATCTTTGAAATATTTAGAGTTAAACTTCTAAACAAAATTCTTATTTACTATCCTGCCTGAGAAGCTCTTAGGCCTACTAAGGAACTGAGTAAACAAAACAAAACAAAAGTAAATAATTCTGAATTGACCTATAAAAATAATCTAAATAAGGTGACCACACAACATTTGTTTTTAGTTTTCATAGACAAAGAAACATTCCCCCCAGTGAACATCTGCTATGAAAGAAAAGTGAAAATCAGAAAACATTTACTTTTAATAAAACAATATTCACTTGCCATACCTGTGACTGTTCTAAACATATTTTGTTTTCTTTTTCCAACTGACATTAATGGAATAATACTTTAATAAGATATCTGGAAAGTTTATACTTCTTTACATTTTTCCCACAGCTGAATTTTGTATTTTAGAATAATAGTAAGTCGTGGTACTCATTTGTCATTGAATATTACTTAACCATCTGTAGATACTAATGAGTTAAAGTTGTGTTATTAAATTGTTAAGAAGATGTTAAGGGGCTAAAATTCATGAATGTAATAGAAACTGTAGATACAGATAAATCTAGGATAGATATCAAACACAACTTACATTTGACTATGAGAACTTTAATGTGCTGCTTTAATATGTGAGATCAGATAGATACAATGTCTTTAAGTAATTTTTAAAGAGAACTTATTAAACTGATTTGAAGGAAAAAAAATAGTGTTTTCCAGCAGGGAACTATTGAAAAGTCAATGTGTCTTGTTTGCAAAGTAACATGGGATTAAAACACTCCTAAACTGATCTTAGATAATAATCACTTTCATTGTGATTATTGTTTTCCTTCATTGTGAGACTTAAAATCAGCTTTTTAATTTCTGCAATATTTGGACTTAATTAAAAAAATAATTGACTAGCTAGCTTAGGAAATTCTTTGGCATTTACCAGGTATGACTGGGCAGGAAAGAGACTATATTCAGTGATTAGCATGAGGTCAAGAGACAGGAGTTTGCACCAGTCAGCCAAAACATGGAAATATGGGAGAGATTACATCTCTCTTCATAGTACCGTTTTGGGAGTAAAACACAGCACCTCTTAGCTGTTTTCTTGAAAAGTACATAGTGTGAGTGCAGAGGGGAGTCACAGGTGGGCAGCAGCTAAACTGTGTTACATATTCTTTCTCAGCTAAACATTTCACCCTGGCCTTGGTACATGGCAGATTAACATGTATTTTCTACTGTCCCTCTAAGACAAATATCAGTAATTACTGTTTGTAGCAGCAACACAGATAAGCCACAGCAGCACAATTGCACATGAGCACACAAATACAGTTTGACTCCAAACTAGAAAGGCAAAGTGAGAAACCTGAGTGCTTTACAAATTAATCTGTTTTGAAGAATGATTCAAAGTAAGACAGAGAGAAAAGACTAAAGAGGAAAGACCAGCCACAGCAGCAACAGTGACAGGATGACATTCTAGAATCTAGAGTCTAGGTGTTAAAATGGCAAGTCTTCAGTCTTTTCTGTAACTTCTCCATTGGGAACCCCAGGATCAGTTCAGTGGTTAGCTGTGAGCACTAAGGGGTTTGTGACCCCATGGGGAGAGCAACAATACCAACCAACCATAGCTCCCTGGGTCTAAAGACTAGCCTGGGAGCACATAGGGAGAGACCCATGGCTCCAGCTGTATAGGTAGGGGAGGATGGCCTTGTCGGGCAAAGGTGGGAGAGGAGATCCTTGGTTCTGTGAAGGCTGGATGCCCCAGTGTTGGGGAATTCGTGGGCTGGCAGGTGGGAGTGGGTGGGTGGGTGGGTGGGGGCACATCATCATAGAAGCAGGAGGAGGGGGATAGAATAGGAGGTTTCTGGGTGGGGGGAAATGAGGAAAGGGGATAATATCTGAAAAAAAATAATTTGACAAGCCTTCCCTACACAGAGACAATCCACTGAGTTGGGAGATCATGAGGCAGTTACTCAGCTTAAAGACACAGTGAGCAGAACTGGACATCTAGAACAATGCCTTCAAGAAGATCAAAGATACAAGCATATTGTAGACTGAAATCTGAGTCAGGAAACTTTAGCCAGTGTTGAGACTTCCATATTTGGGGTGACTCCCTGGACCATAAGCTCACATTACAGGAACTGCCACTCACCATTTGAGGATGAATATTTATAACTGTCACTAGAAAACTGAATGTTTATCCGGAGAAGATAATTTGGCAGCGGAGCTGGGCAGTTTACATGGTCTGCCTAATGGGGTAATTAACATCAGGCTCGCTCGCTTGCTCTCCCTCCCTCCATCTCCCTCTCCCTCTCCCTCTCCCTCTCCCTCTCCCTCTCCCTCTCCCTCTCCCTCTCCCTCTCCCTCTCCCTCTC